TACAGTCCATTTACCATTTACAGTCACGCAAATTAACTAAATGCTGAGATATAGGCCTACTGTGTATGTTTTTTTAAATTTTCTTACACCTCTTAAAATCAAGAAGACCTTGCGACCCCCCATGAATCTTTGGTGACCCCTAGTGGGGGTCTCGAACCCCAGGTTGGAGGCTAAAGTATTTACTTTCTTCATTATACTTATACTACTACAGTTCAAAGGAAATATACAGTTATAATTACGTTACTCTGCAGTTTGACAGTTTTCGTGCACAATATATGATTAGCTAACTAAATTGTGTTACAGATTAAAATACCCAACAGTATAAAGCAGTTAAAATTATCCACCTCAACTAGTGGAAACATTTAAATGTTGCTTAAACTTTACATTTTGAATGCAATTTTTACATTGTAGTATTGCTATTTTTTTTACTAAAGGAAAGAACCCAGGATTCTGGTTTTTTTTTTTCAGGAAAACCATGATAAAATAAAAGCTTGAAACTTAATATATAAACTTGTTTTTGACGAGGATAGTCTAGAGTGAATAAATGATGAGAGGCAGAGGAGTGAGACGAGTGAGAGAGGATTAAAGGGATTACAGCCAGGTGAAAGGTCAAACAGGATGGAGTTTAAAAGAAGAGGACACACATGAGGAGAGAATGAATTTCTGAGAGTATTCATGTCTTGTTAGCTCCATGTCGATACATACATTACGAAGTCGCTGACTGTTTCCTGTCTGTTCTCCTTTGATTTCACAGAGCAGCCATGCGATTGGTCAGCGTGGCGGGGTCACGGCTCCGCAGGGCGGCCGAGGAGGAAGAAAGAGAGAGGGAGCCCCCACCTCACCAACCCCCCTCACACCACTCCAACCACCAGTTCGCCAGCATGAAGAACAAGTTCTTCAATGAGCTCACCCACCTGCCAAGTGAGCACACACACACAGACACACACACACACACACACACATTTTATGTAAATCTACTGAAAATACCTAAAGACAATGTAAACACTTTAGATCTTAGCTGTTCATACACATGTGCATACTTAAAATTAAGTTGAAATTGGTTTGCTCTCAAAGACTAAATTATATATATTTATTGTACTGTAACAGTCATGACTCAACAAGCATAATGTGCATTCATTTCCTTTCAGAAATATGAAATAAATATGAGGCCCAAGGTACTTGTGTGTATTTATCAGTCTTGTTATAGGCTATCAGAAACTGAAGCCAGTAGATAAAAATGTGCATTGGTAAATGGAAGGCCTTTCTAGTCTTCCGACCACTCAAAGAACTACATGGCACATTCGCCCTTTCACACACATTCACAGAGTGATGGTAAAACCCATTGAACGGAAACTAACTCATTCATACACTCTCACACACCAATGCACAGCATCGGGAGCAATTTGGGGTTCAGTATCTTGCTGTTGCTCTTGCAAGGATACTTCGACATGTGGTACCAGGAGCCGGGGATCGAACCAACAACCTTCCAATTAGGGGACGACCCGCTCTGCCTCTGTACCACAGCCGCCCAATAAGCATTCAGAGACACACACAAACTAATGAGAATCAGTCTAACATACACACCATCATCTAACCATCCTGTCATGTCATTAGCAAATATCATGTGTTTCATTTCTTTATTGTCTTCTCTCATTTCTTCACGTGACCACTCTGCTCTGCTCTTCAAGATCATAAACTCAAGAGTAAGTCCATCTCTTGTCTTGTGCCATTCTGTTTTTACAGTTTCAGAGAATATGCAGTGATGTATTACCGGTTGAGGTTTCTTTATACAAGTTCAACGAGAGTTATTGTAGGGGAGTGTAGTATTGTGGAAGTATTATGGAGATACCCAGTGTGCGAAATACGGGGGGGTCCGGGGGGGCTCGACCCCCCGATTAACCCATGAGACCCCCTGAAAGCCTCAAAAGCAAAATTTGAAGGGGGTCTCAAATTTTGTCAAAAAAATAAAAAATAAAATATTTTATTGTCACTAATGGTCACTAAAATGTTTTTTTTTAAGCTCACCATGTCCAGTATTCAAAATTCAAAATATTTATTCACAAATATGTTCTATTTTTTGCCAAGCAGAGCCAGCCAGTCCTGTGCACGTATGCAATTAGCCATGTGCGCCAAAACTTAATGAGACATGAGCTCCCCTGAAAACAACTTTGGGGGGGTCTCTAAAATATTGGCA